CAAAAAAGAATTTGTACCGGAGGATTTTCTTGTCCAGCTATATTGAACTCATTATCAACCATTATGTTAGAAGTGTATTCAAATAAATGACCCGTGACAGGCTGGCCGGCGACACTATCTTGCATGATACCTTCCTGATAAACCCCCATTGCACCAAGAACTTTTAATACACGTTGATTTACTTTATTACGTCCATCCGCTACAACGACTACGACAACTTTTTTCCACCCTTCCTTTCCCCACGTTTTTGACTTGTTCCTCGAGCATAAATGTGCTATGTTTTTAATCGCCGATGACATGGTTTTGATAAACAATCGATCATCTTCATTATACATTGTCATTACAATCATTAATTCTGTTTTCCTTTGATAAATATATGGTCGAAGCATATAATTGTTGCTTACAAAATCATCGGGATCACATGTTACTGCCGTATAGGTCATGTGTGTAAATTCTTTGGTTTGTGATTTTACACTTTGAAGAACTTTGTCTGGTACGGGACTATCAAACACCAAATTTCCGTTTACCAATTCTACATGTCTAATTGACTAATTGTAAAAGAAAGAAAGGAAAAAAAAAAAAAAAAAATCACAAAGAACAAAAAATTTAGTCGCTCCTTTAAGACGCAATAAATTACGCAATAAATTACAATGAATCTCTTTACCTTTCTTTTATCAGCATACGATTGTTGGTAACCATTTAAAGTTAAGGCCTGATGATTAGGATTGCTATTTTGTCGTTGCAATTGATGATCATGATAAGGAGGTGCGCTATTATATCCATCATATCCATTATTATTATTGTAATAACCACCGTTGTCATATCCAACGTTGGGAAAACCTTGGACAGGTGGTTGTGGTGGTTGTTGATAATTGGGATACATGTTTAGATCACAAAAGTTTCGGTACTTTCTATGAATAGTCTTTGATTCGGGTGAAAGGTGGTAGGAAAGTGAAAGAGAAAGAAGGAAAAGGATTTAAAGGAGGAGGAGACGATTATTAATGGAAAGGAGGTTAAAGGGAAAGCGGATAATGAAGGTGAGATATAAGGAAAGTGGTAATATAGAAAAAATAAAATAAAAAAAAAAGGATTTGGGGTAATGAATGTATATATAGGAAAATTCGAGGAGAGAAGAAGGGAAACAAATGGAATACTTAGGTATTCCTTTTGTTTTAAAACAAAAAAAAAAAAAAAAAAAATAATTAATTAATTAAAAAGAAGGTAAAGGAATCGAATATTTTAATAATATTCGTTCGAATGGGATTTTTCCTTTTTTTTTTTCTAAAAAAAAAAAGAGAGAGAAAGGGTTAATAGAAAAGGAGAAATGATTTTTCGTTGACATTTTTTATTAAGACTTAATTGTTGGATAAATCGGATGCATTTACTAATTTCATTACGAATGGTTCGTTTTCTAATTTTCTACATTGCATACATATGATCGATGTTATTGGCTTATGAAATAAATTACTGATGGCACGAATCATCCTTAACAAAATAAAGGTAATTAAACATTTCTACAAAAAGGCGATGAAAACTTCTCGAAAAGCAATTCAAAATGTTAAGGTAACACGAGATTAATTCATGCATACTTGTTAGATAAAAGGAAAATTTTCGGAAAAATCGGGAAAAAAAAAATATATATATATATATTTTTTATCCTAATTAACTATTTAACCACGTGCGATAACAAATTTTAGAGAGGAGAGAAAATAACCGCGTTTTTTTTTTGTCGAATAATTTTTTAATTTTATTCTTTTTTTTTTTTTGCGGTGTTAATAATGATATAAATTCTCTTTCTCGGTTCTACCTTAAAATTCTGCCAATCATTCAAGGCGAAATTGATTGATCGCATAGGAAAAAATAATTGCCCAAGTGTTAAGCATATTTGTTATTTCATACTACGTTACAGTCTTATCTCATTGCGTATGACGCATGTACGTAAATGATCAGCTTCGATAAAACCAGTGGTATAAGTGATCGATGCATATCAAACAGTTAAACTCAGAATTTGACGAAAATACTTCAGCTATTTATCTCCTATAAACCAGCATTATGTCGGTTCCTTTTTTTTTTTTATTACAATGATGAAAAGAAAAATTTTTATCTTGTCTAATTTTATGAAATTGCATTGATATTTTTATTATGATTATTATGGTAATGAAATGTTTAAATAATTCGTGTCAAGAAGAAAGGAAAATTATACATAGAAATACATACACACACATACACATACATAAATACATACATGTTATTCTCTCATATGCCAACTACTAATTTAATACAAATTATATCACAACCTATTACAGGACGACTATATAGATTTCACCAATAAATATTGTACGAAAGATTGATGTTTATTTTTTATGGTCGTCGTTAAAGTTTTATCTTCCAAAAATTGTACCTCGATCTTTCTTGGAGCAAAGAAAAAATCATTCCATTTGGCAAGATATTCATTTATTGCTAGAACGTTAGCTTCCATTTGTTTTTGATCCATGGTTTCACTCATCCATGATACCCATTTCAGACTAACAGAGATTGAATCTCCATTAATCGAGTTTGCACCAAGGATTGAATTTAATCCGCTGATAAAAAACTGCCAATCATTTATTGAAATGTTATGAGAATTTAGTTCTTTTGAAGGATAATTATTGGTAAATCCTCTTTGAATTGAATATCTATCTTTTGGTAACACTTTGAATGATTGCGATAGTGGTTGTGTTCTGAAATTGGATGGGGTTGGACGCGTCCAAGTATTACAAAATTTGTGACATGCTTGGTCAACCGTCAAAGGTTTAAACATGGAGAAAATATTTTTAACGGGAAAGAGCGACGGTGAGTCATGTGCCTGATGTGATGATTGTTGTCGTGCAACCCATGGTGAGTTTCTTTGATGACGTCTTGGTAACGGCGGAGATTGTTCTAATGATTCTTCATATGATGGGGGTGCTTCATCATTGAAGGAGAATTCGTCGTTAATACGAACCGGAAGTGGTGGCGCAGTGGGTGGAGTCAAAGGTGATTCAGGGGTGATTTTAGGGTAAGGTTCGGATAATAACCTTTCCATTATTTGATCCCTTGTTTCGTTGAAAAGACAATTTCGAATATATTCTGGGTCGCACTCGGGAAAGATTGTTCTCAGACTTGCAACATCTTGTTCAACCATTACAGGTGATCTTTGTCGTTGGGGGTAATTGATATTATTAAAATTGTTGTTATCAACGTTGGAATAATCAGTTAAAAATCGTCTAGCCTGATTTTTCATTTCACTTTTGAATTCGGCCTTACGACGACGTTTCTCTTGACGACGATGGTGCTTTTCCTCCCGACGACGATGTTTCTCCTCGCGACGCTGATTTTTTATTTCACGACGAGCACACTTGTTGCGACACATTTTTTAATAAATTGATTTATCACGGGTAAAAGATTTTATTGTAAAATAATCTATGATAAGGAAACTAAAAAAAATTGACGATTTTTTCTTTGGTGATGTCAATTTTCAAAATGATAAATTTCTTTTCAACTATTCGCTTTAACGAGGAATCGACTTTATTTATACAATTCCAACAGATCATGGTAGGAATTCTAAAAAGAAAGAATTCACTACACGCGCAAAAGAAAAATTACCTGGATTAAAATTAGAATTGCTTGGCAGAAAAAGCGGTGTTTCCAATAATCATTGTAACCATTGAATGAATGAAATTTTCAAATTTTATTTTACTAAATATGGAATTAGTATCGGATTCCGCTTTGTAATTTACCCGAAAATCGTTTACGGTGTAACCGTTATTAGGAGAACTTATTCCGTGAGAAACGCATTACATTGCTTGACATTTTACGATTTTATTTTAATTATACATTTTAGGTCTTATTCTCATTTTTTTTAATGTTTTATTTGGTAGCAGAATGTTCCTTTTGGATTTGTTGAATCGTTTTTCTTTTGGAAACATTTTTGTCAATAATTATTAATTATTAATTTTTTTTTTTCTTAAACATAATCGATGTTATGCATCTCTTTGTTCTTAAAAGTCATACTGCATAAAAAAAAAAATTCCGTGTAATCTGTATCGTAATCTTGCTGCGCCACAACATGGCGAGCGGTATTTAGTCGACCTTATTCGACTTTTTCTTTAGAAAAATCATATCGGACATCAGAAATCATTTTATGAAATCTTTGGCTTGTATTCAATTTTCAGATTTCTTTTATATAATTATTTTCATAATCATCTTTACCATAAATCTTTTAAAACAGAATCCGCCACAAAATTTCATTAAAAAAAGAATTTTTTTTTATATTGTCGAGAAAACTTTTATAGGAAATTCAGCCACATTTTTTTAATATATCCTAAACGTCTCATGAATTCTTGTGAAAATCGGGGTTTTATAAACAGCTCTGTGATATCAAGTAACGATAACGCAAAATCCCGCGTGATCGCTAATCCAAAAAAAAATTCACACGTTGAACAAGTTCATTCAAATCACCACGAAACTTTATCCGCAGATAGTAACAACAACTACCTTTCTTATATGTAGGAAGATATGTACATGCAAAAAAAAAAAAAAGAACAAAGACAAATTGTCAAAAGTGGTTTAATTAGGAAAGATTGGTACCGATAATCACGCAGCAGATAGTCCTTAAACGAATTTAAGTCGTCCGGCGTTTATCACCAAAGTGGCGTTATCTTAGTACTGAATTATTATAACCCCACATATTACAACATGTTTGGTTAAATCTAGAGGTATTAGTATCTCTTATGATGACATGTCATTGTTCGTGTTGGTAGCATCCTCCCCATATTTGGTGGTATTCTTGGGCTTATGTTTCCTTCTAAAGTTATTATCGCCAAAATTTTCATTGTTTTGTTCATAACAATAGAAACCTTATACAAAATTATGTAGGTGAGGATAAGTTGGTACAAAAATTTCACATTAAATTTGTATGACATACATCAGAGTCACCTTGATCATCATCATTACAAGGAATTGTTATATAATCATCACATATTTATTTTGTTCACAAATATCTACATTTATCATTTTATTCTTTTTATTTTTATTTTTTTTTTCCTTAAAAAAAAAATACTTTGCACAACAACATAACTCAGGTGAGCTATATATATATTAAAAAGTCTCCTGAAAATTTATTTAATTTTTTTTCCTTTTTACGTTTTCTTTCTCCTTTTTTTCCTTTGTTCTCATCTCATTGTTATTCATAAACCCTGAAAATAATTTACTTTTTGAAAGGGAACTATATAATAACAATTCTTTGGATTACCAAATTTTAACAAAATTTTTTTTTAATTTTTTTTTTTTACTAAGAAAGAAAAATGAACAAAATGAATATGAGAAAAAACAAGAACGTTGACCAAACTACACCTTATGCCATCTATGGATTTTTCCGTTCGTTTCGAGAATCTTTACCTGATGATAGCGATTTTTCAGATTTTATTAGTACATTAACCATTACGCCGATGAAAGCCGTTGTTGAAAATGTATTACCATTCTTCCGTCGTTCTTCAGACCCGAGCTTATTAACAAACTTTCAAGTAATGATAAGACAGGCCGAACAGAATAGTGATTTTGAAAGTACCTTTATGAGAGTTTGTGATGCTATTGATATGCTTGAAAAGGTTGAATTAGCATTAAGACATGACAGACGTTTAATGGATGGTTATCTAAAAGCGATGCAATTTGATAATGCTTCTGCTAGTCATCAACAAGTTTGGAGTGGTTTACAGCGGTTTTTAAATGAGGAATGTGATTTGACTACTAAACGAAGAATGGAAAGAGTTTTTGCGGAACAAAAAGCAAGTGATGAACTCGGTAATTTTCAGATTATTTGGATGAAAATTGGTTTATCCGTCTTTATTTGCGTCCTTTCTTAATTAATCCCCGAATATATTCGATCATTTCTTCTTCTAAAATAGGACTTAACGATGATGTCCTTGCTACAGCGCACGCACTGATTGGTGATGATGGATTGTACATTCAGCTTCTTGAAACACTTCAACTAAATAATCGACAAAATCTTCCCTGGGAAACTGTTATCACCAGGATTCAACGTACCATTGAGGCTAACAAACCAAAGGTCTGGCCAATGTTGCGTAGGTTTTTGGACGACGTTCACAGTGGCCGCGGTATGAATATATAATTCGATTTTCGATTTTGAATGTGATGAAATAATGCAACTATAAAACCGATAATAAACGTGCGAAATTTTTTTTTTAATTTCAGGCATCGATGAACTTGAATACAATCTCTATTGGGATTATATCGAAAATGAATATGCTGAAGATGAGATTGACATTGAGCAAAGACTTGCTAATATCGCTCTAGATTCTGAAAAAGATGGTGTTAGCGTCGTTGAACCTCAACAAACACAAGAGCAACGAAAGCAACAAAGAGAAGTTCTTGGCGCGGTTTAATATTTAGAATATGCGCATCTCTTGACTTTTATCAAATTTATTCTAAACTCTTAAATTTCTCTCACGATTTCATCCTGGTTATTAAAAAATTTTTTAAAAAAAACACAATCCACCCATTTTCTTAATGTCGACTTTTTTT